TGAACCATCTGATTCTCATTACCAGATGCATGTGTATGTACGTATTTATCTTCCTACCTACTACCTACCTACCTACCTGTCTACTTGCATACCAACCACTGTCTACCTATCTACCCACCCACACACTCACCCACCCATCTATCTCTCCCTCCCTATCTATACCTAATTTCCTTTACTTTCCTATAGGTGGAGCTGCAGAGGAGGGCAGAGCAGAGCGCGCCGCACTGTAGCAGGAGAGACTTCCCCAGTAGGGGGCGTAGGCCATAGGTGCTGGATCTCGGAAAGCCGTACGCAACGTCAGGGGCGGGAACAACTCTCGCCCCGCCCCTGCCATCTGAGGCGCCCTATGATTGGAGGGAGGAGCCATCACTTGGCAGTGCCGTTGGGGTGGAGGAAGAGGGCTTCGGCCGAAGGTGACGCTGAGGCGACGGAGGTGCGGAGAGCAGAGTGGGCCGTGAGTGAGAGCGAGCCACGGCAGCACTTCAGGCGCTCTCCCCCACCCCTCTGCGGTGAATGGCGGCGGGATGGAGCACGAAGGGAGCGGCGACAGCGGGGGGTCGGCTGGGCTCCTGCAGCAGATCCTCAGCCTGAAGCTCGTGCCGCGCGTGGGCAACGGGACCTTGTGCCCTAACTCCACTTCTCTCTGCTCCTTCCCAGGTACCGGCCCCGCCCCGCGCCTGCGCACTGCGTGCCACGCCGCAGACCCCCGGCTGCGCGGCGGCGCCCCTTCCGCTGCGAGCCGACTGGCACCCCGCCGTCCCGCCTGCCGGGGGCTGTTTTCCTCTTGGAAGAAGGTTACCTCTCCCTCGGCCGAGAGCTGGGGGCCTTAACCCCTCCCCCCGTCGCTTCCTTGCCGGCCCCTCGGGCCAGGCCACCCCGAGCCCGCGCTGGGGACCCGTCAGTGAAGGGAGCTCAGTCACCGCCCGAACTGATCTTGCTCTTAGGAGTTTCCAGACGCCCCAGGTTCAGACATGAACTCGGCAGAGCCCTGTAGGCGGCCGTCCCTCCTTGTTCGGGGCACTGGAGGCGGTCATCCCCGCCCAGCCCCTTTCGTCCGCGCGGGCCTCTCGGCTTTCCCAGCTCGGACAGCGCACTGTCCCGGCCGGGCTGAGGGCCGTCAGTCAGAACTCACACACCCTTTGTTTCTAGCGTAGCCCAACCCCTTTACGCGGGGAGGTGGTCTGCCGATCGCTACCGCCCAAGTTCAAATCCAACCCCTCCACCAGCTTCTCTTTCTAGGAATCATTTTCTAAGACCTGTTGCCGAGCCTCCCACTCATGCGTTCGAGGTCTTTGATGCAGATTCTTTCTGACTCTTACCCACACTGACGATTCTGCTGGGCCTGAGAACAGAGTTTTTAAAAATGAGAAATAGAGATAGAAAGCTGTCGTGCTCAGAAAACTGAGAGGAGGAGAAAGTACCTGGGAAGGCCGAAAATAAAGCCTTTGACGGGAGAGCACAGTTGTGTGTTGGCCCTTTAAAGGCAAGAAGGCTGAGATAGGGGTGATTGAAGGGTGTGGTTGGGCTCTCCCGCAAAGCTGGCAGATACTTTGACTCAGTAAACAATGAGAGAACCGGCCTGAGACCTGCAAAAGAAGGAGGGTTGGATTACTGACTGCAGTTGTAAACAAGGCACCTGTGATTTCTCTTTCTCTGGGCAGCGACTGCTAGGCGCCATTCAGCAGACACCAGGGACTTGATATGTATTACCTTCCTAGTATTTTCCCGGACAGGTTTGTGAAATAGTTAATAAGATAACCGTATTGGGGCAGATGCAGATGTTAGCTTGAAATCGTGCCTAAAACGATAATCTGGCAAAAGGTATCAAAAGGTACTAAGATCACATTTGACAGTGACAACAGAAATATATGGCATTCTGGAGACACTGTCCAAAAAATGAAATGTTCATGCAGTCTGGAGGCAGTACTGAACTGGATCGGTCTGTTTTCATTGTTTCTTTACTTTTCCCACAACTCTTTATTTGGAAAATTTTCAAACCTACTGAAAAATTGAAATTATAGTTTGACCAATATCTACATGCCCTTTACTTAGATTCATTATTAACATTTTGATTTTTCCGCTTCCTCTCTAAATATATATATGCATACACATAACATTTTTACTTTCTGCAAGCCTTTTGAAAGGAAGTTACAGAAGTGACGACGCTTGACGCCTAATATTTCAGCACGTATCATTTAAAATGAAGACATTTTCTGCCACAACAAAAAAAACACATCACACCCAAGAAATTTAACATTGATAGAATATTATCTAATGTATTGGCCTTATTTAGATTTTCCCAATTTTCCCAGTTCAAATAATGCCATTTTTTCCTTTTTTTTTTTAATTTATTTTTTAATTTTGGTTGCGCCGGATCTTCATTGCAGTATGTGGGACTTCTTAGTTGCAGCATACAAACTCTTAGTTGTGGCATGCGTGTGGGATCTAGTTCCCTGACCAGGGATCAAACCTGGGCCCTCTGCATTAAGAGCATGGAGTCTTACCCACTGGACCACCAGAGAAGTCCCTCCTTTGTTTTTTTTTAAATTCCAGGATCTAATCAAGGGTCCCACATTGCATTAAGTTGTCATGTCTCTTTAATCTTGTTGAATCTAGAACAGTTCCTCCATCCTTGTTTCAGTTTCTTGAGACAGCCATTTTTGAAGTCCAGGTTAATTGTTTCATAGAATGTTCCATAATCTAAATTATCTCATTTTTTCTTCATGATTAGATTCAGATTAAATATTTTTGTTCAGAACGCTGCCTACACAGGTGATTTGCCCACTTCCCAGGGCACCTCATCAGGAGACATTTAGTGTCAGTTTGTACCTTTATTGATAACACTAGGTTTAATCATTTGGTGAAGATGGTGTTTATCAGATCTGTCCACTGTAAGGGTACCTTAATCCTTTTGTAATAAATCATGTGAGGTGATACTTTGAAACTGAATATTCTGTTCAATCTGTTTTGCTTTTAGTTGCCTGTTCTTTCTCTAAGAAAAGATTGAGATAAGTGGATTTGGAACAATAGTTTTAACATGTCATAGTAGAGAATCTGTAGCTAAGTGAATTGTTTTGCTTTCAGCAATTGTTCTGAAATATTAAACTGCAGTATGTATTTGAGTTTATGCGAACTTCTTTGAATATATAACTTGGGGGTGGTGATCACCAGGGATCATTCATTTAGCAGGTATACGTTGGTCAAGTGCAGGCTGTGGGCTGGGGGTATAAACATGCATGAGATAAAGCCCTTGACCGCAGCAAGCTGATCAGAATGGGATGGGTAAACACAGTGGGTAAACACACAACCTCCCTGCTGTATCTCTTCTTTAGCTGGAATGGACAGTAAGCACATGAACTGTAACCCCTTTGGAGGCACCAAAGCCTGCTGACAGTGAATGGTATTCACTGTCCTGATTCTGGAATTGTTTCTATTTTGGCCCCACAGAAAAGCTTCCTTGCATTTTATGCCAACTCGATATGGCAGAATCATTGCTCTGAAATAGTCTGTGGTTTATCACTGTCAGGAAGCTTTGAATTGATTTTTTTAAACCTGCATTTGCAATTTAGCTATTTAGGTTTCTGCCTAACCCTCCTTATTGCAAGTTGTTCAGATTTCTTTTGTTGTTGTTGTTGTCATTTTTAATAAATCTGAGTGCTATGAAAGGCAGAATTTTTTTTTTCCTGTATCAGGAATAACATTTACTTTCTGAAGGTATGAATTTCATTATACCTTCAGTGTCAAAGTGTATCTTCTGATAAACTAAAACCCACTAATGTTTTGGTTGTGCCGTTGCTGGAATCAAGAATAGGTCACACTTGGATCAGTCATTTACTCATTCAGTCAACAAGTATTTACTCAGTGTCTATTGTGTGTCTTTTGTTTTCTAGGCACCAGGTAAAGGTGTGTTAGTAAACAAAAGAACTTTCATTCTAAAGGGGAGAGAGAAAACAAAATTTAAAAGTATGGAAAAGACTAACATAACATTGTGAAGCAACTATACTCCAATGAAAATTTTTTTTTAAAAGTATGGAAAGGAACAGATGGTGGTGAGTGTAAGACAGGGTAGGGGGTTAGTAAGGGACAGGTGTTGTGTGTCAAGTGGAATGCTGTTTTACTTAAGGTCACAAGGAAGCCCTCTATGATGGTGCCATTGGAGAAGAAGTCTGAAGGGAATGAGGAACTAGCCACGCAGCTGTTGGGAGAAGAGCCTTGTGGGCGAGGGGCAGCAGGTTCAGAGGCCCTGGGACCGGAGCTTGTTAAGCAACATGAAGGAGGCCAGTGCGGAACGGGGTGGGCAAGGCAGGGAGAGGAAGTGAGGTCAGATCCCAGAAAGCCATATTAGAGGGTTTTGAGCAGAGGAAGGATGATCTGACTTACTTTTTTTTTTTAAGAATACAATTTAATGATTTTTTGCAGAGTTTGCAACCATCACAAAAAGCAACTTTAGAATATTTTCATCACTCCAACAAGAAACCTTGTTCCCATTAGCACTGACTTTCTGGCTTTGTGTGGAGAATAGGTGGAAGGCCAGATCAGGACAGATAAGATCTAGCCAGGCTAGGCCCAAGAGACCACTGGGATTGAGACAGGCCAGAGGGGCACACAGAAACAAGGGATGAGTGGGCAGTTAGGCAATGGCCTCAGGAGAGAGGTGGCAGCCCACTGCTGGTAGTCCTGGTGGGCAGGTTATCATTGTTAGGAGAGGAAGGGTGTCTAGGAAAAACTCGCTGTTTTCCTTTACTCTCACACTGCTGCTACACTCACAGCACTTCTCGCGCCAGATGTGTGGTTTTTCCATGCCACAAGCAATTCTGGGACACCAGTTGGGTGTCCTGCAATTCAACTCAGTTCTGACACTGGCTACCTGGAGTTAGCATCCAATCCCACAGGTTAAAGGCTCAGTTCCACAAGACTGCCGCAACCCCCAACTTCAGATGCCAGTCAGAAGTCCAGGTTGTCGCATGTGCTTCTGACCAGCTGAGCTTGCCATGTCTTCCTTCTCGTTCAGTTATTTTGCTAGAGCAGCTCATAGAATTCAGGAAAACAGTTTACTCATTAGGTTACTGGTATATTACCAAGGATATTAAAGGTTGGAAATGAACACCAGATAAAGAGGTACATAGGGTGAAGTCTGGAAGGGTCCCTGAGCACAGGCACTTCTGTCCCTTTGGAGCTGGGGTGGGCCACCCTCCCAGCACATAGATGTTTTCACCAACCTAGAAGCTCTCTGAACTCTGTACTTTTGGAATTTTTATGGAGGCTTCATCACCTAGGCATGACCAATTATGAACTCCCTCCTAGCCTCTGTCCCTCTCCAGAGAATGGAGGGTGGTGCTGAAAGTTCCAAGCTTATAATCATGGCTTGGTCTTTCTGGTTACCATCCAGGAGCCCACCAAAAGTTGCCTCATGAGAACAAAAGACACTCCTGGAAATTCCAAGGGATTTAGGAGCTCTGCATCAGGAACCAGGGTCAAAGACTAAGTATTGGAACAAAAGATTTTCCTAGCACCATTATCTACAAGGGTTTTAGGAGCTCTGTGTCAGGAATCAGGAGTAGAGACCAGTATATATATATATATATATGTATATATGTATATATGTATATATGTATATGTATTTCACAAGGGAACAGATGGATCCCCTGGCAGGTAGG